TGAAGTGATGCGTTGGGCCAGAGTCATATAGAAGTGAGTAGTGCGCCCCTTCTTGTCGCAGTTATTACAATGAAACACCTGACAAACTCCCTTGTGATGGAAGTTACTCTTGTTGCGCTTCGGTAGTGTTCCAACATATCGAGGGGCTGGTGTTGGAGTGGTGGATGTTGTGGCAGCATGAACTACCACATTATGTTGCCTCTTCCAAGGCTCTTTTGTTGGTTGTTCCTTATTCTTACTCCAAGCCTTTCGTTTATAGTTCTTAGGTTCGTGGTTTGGAGTGTCTTGGTAGGCAGACACTTGTTGGGTTCCTTTGTTATAGCTACAATTGGAATTATCGATGCTGATTCCATTCTCATTTGTGTTGTTTGCATTGAGTTGTGCCATGGCGGCTGTCACAGCGGCCGTGACCGCAGCTTGAAAAGTGGCAGAGTCTATCTGTAGAATCGGTGTTTTGCCGGTTGGCTGGTTACTTCCGTGTGAAGGCATGATTCTGTTGCATGATGAAAAACGAGCTCATTAGTAACTATGGTTATATATATATATATATATATATATATATATATATATATATATATATATATATAATAATAATAATAATAATAATAATAATAATCTTTTTTTTGAACTCTTCTCAAAGTTCCTATCAACATCCATGAGATGTAATTATTGTAGAGAGTATAAGTAGGTACTTTACAAGTGTTAGGTTTACTAAAATAGATTGTGTGTGCCCATCGCTTTCTTTGTAGTTAGGATGGTTAGCACCACTACCCAACCTACTGGCACCACTTGCGTTGATTTGAGTCATGGTGGCTGTTACAACGGCTTGAAAGACCTTAATGTCGTACAGTGGTTGATTTGTTGACTTGTTGTTGAGGGTGCATCTTATAGGTGTATGGGGAGGCACTTTTCTACTGTAAGGATTTTAAAATAGGAAAGGGTGGTAAGTCTTTAGTAGTGATCTTAGGTCGAGTGTTCTTTGAACTAAGTTATCTTAGTTTTGTGCGCATCATATTCCGAATTTTATAGCGTTTTGAAACAATTTATAACAGAGGTCTATGTATAATTTTTTTCTTTAATATTAAACACCCTTAAACGAAACTGCGTGACTTGATTCACTTGTTATTAGTTGTGATGAAAGAGGCAATAAGCTTAACATATAGTGTGAGTAGTGTAGTCACTAACTCACTAGGCTATATTAGTTTGTTTATTAACATGACGCATAAAGGGTTCTACCACCTCTTATGACTCACGAGTGATCTCTTCTGCTCTTTGTTCCGTTGTCATGTTTGTTCTAGTTTCAGCTATAAAGTTTTGTTGTGTCAGAGTATTCCTATAGTGTTCTTGTTCTTCATAGGTGTGTTGAACGCCTGCTACATCATGCTTCGGGTTTTGTCACTGATTTCCATTACTTCATAATGAAAATCTTGAACCCGAATGTCCAAGGGAGCTTTGCGTGTCTGCTCTTGATAAGTTAAGCACTACTAGAAAAACAGCCTTTTACGACACTCATTGTGCGTCGTAAAGGGCTCAGACGACGCGCAAATGCGCGTCAAGGAAGGCCATGTCATAAAGAGAGACGACGCGCATTTACGACGCTCATTTACGACGCGCAATTACGACGCACGTTTACGACATGCAATGCGTATCAAGAAAGGTCATGTCATAACAGAAGACGACACGCATTTGCGTATCGTAACCTTACGACGCGCGTGTTAATGACACGCAATGCGTATCAAGAAAGCCCCTGTCAAGAAAGGCCATGTCATAAATGCAAATGACACACATTTTGCGTATCATAATTTTAACTGTTTAAAAAAATTATTTGTAGATTTACTAATTTTCAAATTAAATTTCCATTTCATGTATCATAATAAAAAATAAAATACCATATACAAAAAATATAATATATTGCACAAAAGTTAATGTCACAAATAATCATTCCAATAATAGACAAATGGATATCAAAGGGATCAAAAATATGTTTGTCTTCTAATAGAACTTATACACAAGAAAGTACTGAATTTGCTATTGAATTTATACACAAGAAGAAGGTGTTTGACTTCAGAAAATGTCCCAGCAACTTAATTGGCCCCGGAAGCTTGTGGTTTGACTGCAACTGAGATAAGGATACCTTGTTTACTCTTCTTAAGCTTACTAAACACACATGACAATAAGATAATATAAAACTGAATTATTATTAAGATTAAGCCACAAATGCACTCAAGCTATACAATAAGATAATTGGGTAGATTTTTGAAAGTACAATGTTCTAATAAGAAAAAATGAAATTAGGATGTTATAAACTTGTAATAAATAAATAAATCAATGAAAGTGCATTGTTACTTTATGAATCTAACCCTAAAAAAAGCTATAGAACTGAGGATGTAAAGATTACCACAACTTTATTTTGCAGCATGAATGTCCCCGTTATGATGGATACCTGTTGATGACAAGAAACCAAATTATCAAGATAAAAATAATTATAACATTTCTTGCATGTTGCATTAATATGTGCAAATATTATCTTATATTAAGTAATAAACTAATAGTAGCATGCAATTAATGAAGTAGACAGATCTAGTCCCTGAAAAACTTAAATATAAAACATTCTTTATAATGGATGCACAATTTAAAGTCAACGAGAGAGCAAATCCAGTCAACGTGGCTATGAATGGATAACTTGTGAGTAGTGGTATAGACACAACCTACACAAAACATATTCAAGACCTCACTTAACAACCAAACATCCCATTTTTCAAGATTCATATATAAAAAAAAATCTCTCATGCAAAATCAATAATTACATCAAAAATGAATAATTAAATTAAACAAATGGTAAAAGAAAAACTAAATTAAAGAAAAATTGCTTACTCCTTCAATACGAGCTATTACTATAGGGCCAAATATCCTTTCCAGAAATGGATACAATGTGAACTGGAAGTGTAAATCATATTCATACCTGTTTATAACCAGGGAGCACCTATGAAACATCATTATGTAGCTCCTCGCTTCTAATTTCCTGCAAGTGTAAATCAAAATAATAAGCTAAATTGTAAATATGCATCAAGCCAAGGGAAAAAGGTGGAATTTTTAATACCTGACTTAGGAGAGATAAGTGGGCTATGATCAACACCTTGGGCTCACAAAATACTAAGCGCACTGTGGAGTTGATGGGTAACTTTTCTAACTCAAGCCCAAGTTTTACTGAATCAACTCTGACTTTGGTCAAACAGGGATTAGACCTACCTTATATTCACATAAGTTTAATCCAACCAACGACACAATTGGCGCTAATTCCTCTTCACACCTCTATTTCTCTTCTGCCGATCGAACCTCAATTGGCCACCTCTTACTGAACCACGATACCCAGATCCTCAAGGTTGGAGGCGTTGGCTTATCCTAATATCGTCTTCAAAACCCTAGGGTTTAATTTTGGATCCTCTGTCATCCAAAACGAGTTATTGAGCATTCTTGTTGATTCACCTGGGCACATTGGCTCTTCTACTAATTAATGTTGTCTTATGTATCGGATATGGTGTATTAGCTACTGTTGATTTCAATAAAGATGATAGTGTCATGGAAAAAAATTCTGTCTCCAAAACCGTGGAGAAATATTTCATCTTTTTGTGAATGTTAACAAAAGTGACAAGTATTTCTCTAAATATCTGGTGCATGGAGCATACTTCACATTTCAAAAGGTTACTGAAGATTCTAATGTCACCTTATCCAAACATCAGGACCCCCTGGGTGATATTATGGTTCCCCAAGAAAGAGTGCAAGGGAATTGGTGTATGCTTGCTGGAATCAAAATACAGGAAAAAGGTCTTGAACAGGTTACAATTACAGCTGGTTATGATGATCTTGGTGGAAGTAATGTCATTACTGGTGAGAACAAGAAGAGTATGGAGAGCTCTTGGATCTTGGAGAATTTGAAGAAGAAAGGGATTGATGAAGAGATAGATAAAGAAATACTTGTTATTGCTAAAAGGGGAAAAGATGTTAGCAAAGATTTGATGTTAAAGTTGTTGCCAAATAAGTTTCCTGGGGCAAATGGAAGTGGAAGTGAAGTTACTTATGGTGAGCTTTATCGGCTGGAAGAGTTCCTGTTGTGCCACCTTAAGGTTTTAGATGATTTAGGTGATGGTTTTACTAAAGGACTTGAAGTTGAATTAGCAAGTTTACATAGCAAGGGCTTTAATGCATCGGTTACTTCTGGTGGATATGGCTGGTACATCACCTTAGATCCTAATGAGAATGGTTGGGAAGTTGTGAAAAAAGGTGGGAATGCACAAGTCATTGGTGAAGTCCCACATAAACTCAAGAATGTTTTTGAGGTGGTGAGGATACCAAGCGAGGGTCCCAGTTTTCATTACCAATACTTCTCCTCAGGTGTGATGAGTAATAAGAATGGGAAGGTTGATAAAGTTATCAAGATGATCTTAGAGAAATTGGAGCCAGTGATTGTAGGGCAAGCCACCAAACAAGGGTTCGAACTTGAAGAGATGGAAGGAGAACAACAACAACATGAGTCACTTAAGAAGAAGTCAGAGGGGATTTTGGTGTATTCTCTTAAGTTATTGATGTTACACGTGAAGTTTGAGTTGTTTCGGGTTTACCTTTCATTTTGGCAACTGCACTTGAATAAGAATGTAAGGAAGACCCATTCTTTCCTTCACCTTAAGGACAAGGTGAAAGTTTGGGCCGTTGGTATTGATAAGCCCCGACATTTCTGTTATCTTTTTGGCCAGGGGTAGGATGGTTTTTTATGGTATTATGGCTATTTTGTTATGTCAAGAGCACTAACTTTGTCCCAGGACTGTTTTAGGGGACCACTCCCTAGAGGTTTTTGTTTAGCAGCTAAGAATTATTATGAATTGAACTTTGTTCTTTCTTGGAGATACCCACATCTCGAAAGCTGGGAATTATCTTAATATTATCACGTAATTGAATCAGGGGTTAAAATGCCTGGAGTTTATGATAGATTCAACAAGGATCTATCAGTTTCTTGGGATTAAAGGACTTACAACAAATCTTGTAAGAGCATAAATGAAAAGTGCAGTGTTGTAAACTGTGAATAGGAGCTTATTGACCTTCATGAAATTGGGATCTAATGTAGCAGCCATTCTACAGTCGTTTAGACATTTTACCTCATTCTTCCAAGAGCCATGTGTATAGTTGCACGATTTCTATAACAGAAAATAAGAGGTTGTATACAAATGCCAGGTGTTTTTGTATGTTGTATTGAACTAATACCCTTTGAATAACATACTTCAGCTTCTGATAAATCTCCACTCTTATAAACCTCGTTTCCCCTGCACAAATCAATTTATTTCAGAAATCAAAACTATATTAGGTTTATACAAATGTAAAATATCAAAAAAAAAGGGGGGGCGGGCGGGGGGGGGGGGGGGGGATAAAACAACACCTTTTTCGCCAACTGTCACATGCTTCTTGAGCTATAGCCTTTGTGTGCACCCTGTTACCAGGTTTATGAAAATGGGACACATTAACACAGCCAGTGCTCAGCTTATACTTCTTCTGATGTGGCTGTTGTCTCACTGCCATGGCAGCACTAGCAAAAGATGTAACAGAAGGTGAATATATAGATTTTCATGTCAAAAAAAAGAACAACTAGCGGATCATGAGTAACAGCATGGCCATTGATCATGTTAACAGGAAGCATGTTCCCATCTCTATCTATTGTGTTCACTAGAGTCTCATCTCCATCCAGGCATATTTGAGCAACATCAAGTCCAGCCTTCACCAAACCACCCTATAAATAAACATATATATGTAAATACTAGTAAATAGTCAAACAAAAGTTTACTAAAGTCACTTTAGGCTACTTACTGGATTGTTTCAGAGATCCAAAATGTAAGATTCAACACCCTGATTTTCAAATTCACGAATGGCGTGTTTCATATCTGTAGCAGCACTCTCTTTACAAAAGCTTGTTGTTAGATGAATTTAAGATATGAAGTTATAAAGTAAGACTAAGATTTAGAGAATTAATAAGCACATGGGAGAAGGCTAATAGCTTTACATATCCGGTTTTGGATACATGACCATTTGGTGTTCTATGAGGAATGATGACACTTAATATAGGAGAAAGTCTGATGAATTCCCGGGGTAGTTTCACCTCTCTAAAAACTAGAGTCAATGGCCAACTTTTTTCCATGTAGATCAGAAATATGAACATGCACAAATTTCTATAAAACCCTTTGGAAAGGAATCAAACATTCCATTCCTTCCTACCAAACTTAAATGTAAGAAACTTACATTGTGCACTTTGACTGTAACACTTGTCCCAACATAACCTTTAAGCTTTTGTGCAGCAGCTTCACCACTAATCCCTTTAACTCTCTCTCCATTTATTTCAATCAACTCATCTCCTACATGTATTCCAGCTTTAGCAGCTGGGCTACCCTCAACATAGGACAATAAAACCTGAAACAAAAAATTTTAAATTTTTAAAAATTACAAATAAATAAGAATCCATAACTGAGGTCTCAGGTTCAAGTCTCAGCATCACAAACCAGATGCCCGGTTTCTGATTCAGTATTCAAAAATAGTCCAACTCCTTGTACGTTTCCATCACTTCCAATTCTAAAACTTTGGTTTTCCTGTACAAATCATTGCCGAAAAGAAAATAGAGTAAGTTCCCCCTTTTGGAATCTAGGAGTAAGAATAAGTTACAAAAATGGTTCCTGTTGTTTCTGAATTTTAGTCCAAAACTGAAAACTCTTTTAGAAACCACAGGGACAATTTTTGTAAAAGTAATGGGAAAAGTTGCACCTTTGGACTGATAATGCGAGTGAAGCGATCTTCAAGAGTAAAAAGCATTCCTTTAATCTTGCTGTATGCGGCATCAACTGTTCTAAGTGGATGCATTTCCACCATTGTTTGCTGGAATTTCGAGTCCCAGTCTACAGAAAACACATAAAATTACGTTAAACTTATTGAAACTAAATGACATAAAACAACAGAAATGAATCGTACCTTGATGATTAAAAGTTGGATCAACAAAAGTCTCTCTGATCAAACCCCAAGTCTCTACGAGAGTTCGCTGCACAGCATTCACCTGTTACGAAATTAAATTTTACCAAACCCATATAAGCAATAGATTGAACACCTTATCTGCACAACCCAAACAAACTACTAAAAAAGATGATCGAACTGAACACCTACCTCATGAGTATGAGAAGCTGGGAATGCTATTGTCAAGGACTCGGCAAGAGCTGGCGAATCCAAAACAAACAGAGACTGCAGCAGCGAGCCTGATCAAACCTTTAGCGATTGAATCAATCAATTTCTTATTGGATTCAACTGATTCATTCGAATTTTCCTTGGGTAAAGCTTGAGGTGGTGTTGGTACTTTACACTTGCTATGGTAACCATTGAAACTGGAAGAAGATAATCGGTACTTATAGGGAAAAGTTGAAGAGGTTGGTGTTTGAGGGGTTTTGGTGTAAATTGATGAAAGGGGTGAAGAATTACTAAGATCGAGATTAGGTTGGCGTAGAGCATCCATGGTAGATACTCTAACTGGGGGATTTAGGGGGTTTGTAGATCGTAATCAAGATGAAGGGATTTATGGGGAATGAATGAACAAGTGTAATGGTTGGATTTAGGGTGATTTATGGTAATCCCTAAAAATCGAACCCAAAAATCTCTATATCGGGTTTACAAATACACAAACCACGCTTTTTCCTGGTTCAGAAAACCAGAAGGGTGATTAGGGTTTCCAAAGAGAGAGAGAGAGAGAGGGAATGCAGAGGTAGAGAGAATGCAGAGCTAGAGACTTTACCCAACATTTATTATACCTGGTAGAGAAGATATAAGGAGGTTTGCTAAACCCTGTCGCAGCCATAACAAGATAAAAACAAGCGTGGTGTGGACTCACAAGTAAGGATTTAGAAGGGTGAATAAGAGGTTGAGATCATAGAAGCGAAGAATAAAGAAAGGGCAGAGATAGTTAGAGACAACGAGGGATGGCGGCATACGACAACGACAAACTTCATCATCTTCTTCCACTGCCTGGCGGTGTTTGATTCGCGGCGATGACGTGAATAGAGAAACAAAAGGGCAGAGTCGATTGTGAAGATAAAGAAAAGAAGGTAGAAAAGAAAGGCGGGTTTTCAAAATTTTAGAGTTTCGTTTCCCCCGTTATCTTCTTAAGGCGCGTTTCCTTAAAATTATAAAGCGACACCTACAGAAGACGCACGTTTAAGATAAAGCGCCCTCCGTGTTTTTAATTTTTTTTTCTTGAGACACTAATTTAGGGGCACGCAAAAATGCGTGTCCACTATCCTTCAAATTTTGGAAGTCTGACATTATTTTTAAGGACGCCCAAAAATGGGTAACGTGAATCCGTGAGTGTCATTGTTTGCGCGTCATTAAAGGCTATTTTTCTTGTAGTGAAGATTCATTATCAATCTTGTCGACATACTTTCTCTTTGGCTGATTCCTCCTTGGAGTCTCCGTCATGAACCCTTCATGTTTCCTCCTCGACTCCTCTGCTGCCTGTTGTAACGGAGTGGCTATCTCTACTAGGTTGTGCATATGATAATGGGAGTATCTAAAGAATCTATGAGGTTATGTAAATCATTACTTTAGAAATTTTTATGGTGATCCTTACTGTGTCTTTCTATAATCACATAATGTATACATACTATATATAATTGGGACCAGATAAACCTTCGAATACGTGATCATACTCTAAAACCACAACCAAACAAGGAATCAGTAGTAGAGTGAAAATCACAAAGTCTAAGTCTATGAAATCTCCATTATATATAACCTTAATGTATACACTCAGTAATTATAGACCTACCAGGAAGGGTCTTTTAGTTTTCACATAAGTTAGTTATAGTGCCTAAAATACTCCTATGGTATTTTAAACTTTATGTTCGATTCTAGTATTCCTTCGCAGGTAGTCTTGGTAAGTTTTAGAGTTGTTGCAACACCACTATCACTCCCCAACACATGTTGGTCGTATCTCAAATAAATATAGTTGATCACGCTATATTTATCCCAAATATGATTACATAACTGTTTAGATTTGACTTTAGTCTCTAACCGCTAAATACTTATGTTTTGTTCTTCTTGTAATACTTTTTCTAGTATGTATGCATGTTTGTATATAAAATACTTATATTTTATAAGTATACTTTTAGTCAGAGCACTTCGGTCCAATCGTATTTATAGTTGTATATCTTCTTACGAGTTGATATACTGAGTTCACTATTAACAATGCTCTGATACCAATCTGTCACACCCCCAAACCGAGGACGCGGAAACATTCAGAGGGCAGAGGATGTCATGTATAGTATCATCACAAATTAATAATAGTAATCAAAGAAACAACAACCATTGTATTGATAATAGAGTGTTTACATTGTATATAACTTAAAAACAGTTTATTTAAAAAGTAAATTCGCAAAAACTAAGACTTGAAGCTATTAAACTTCGTCTTCTCAACATCTGTGCGTGTACATGTGTACTGGTTTCCTGAGAATACAAGTGTTTTGAAAGTGTATCAACATTTAAGTTGGTGAGTTAATAAGAATTTTGGTATTCAAAATAATGTTCTTTGTTCCTTGAAAACGTTAGTGTGTTCCTTCAGAAAATCCAATAGACTCTTATTAAATGAAATGCAATCTTAAAACCAAAGACCAAATGTAAAAGTGTTATTTCATATTTATAATGGTATACACGGTTTTAAATAAATAAAAACAATTTTTAAATGTTAGATGATTTCAAAAATGACAATTGTTATGTACTTGACAACAATGTAATCTATTTTTATAACGATATTAATAAAACCCCTTTTATATGATTGTTAAATCCTCATAAACTATATTTGTCGTTGTTTGCCTATGTGAGTTATTATAACAGTACAATTGACATAGTAAGTCTGTTATGACATTCTATAGGTTTCAGAATGTTTTGACATTTATCACCCCAGATCTGCCGGTCTAGCTGTTGCAAGCAGACTAGGTACATGATTGTCAGTCCCAATATAGATCTATACACAAGTATCACACTCTCCCAACAAGAGACTATGGTTATAATACAAGACTTTAACTAGCACTCTAAAGAGTACAACGAATTAATGTCTCACAAATTTGATTCAATGAATTTACGTGTAGTTTGAATGAAAACCATTTTTCTAGTAGATATGAAACTTTTCTTAGTATGTTCGTAGTATTAATGTACCATAAACTGTACCTATTATAGTTTATCATATGACTTTTTAATGATGAAAAATCCCTTATGTGAATGATTATTTCATTTCCATAGAAATAAGATATCATGATATATGATCAACATGTATTATATATATATATATATATATATATATATATATATATATATATATATATATATATATGGCTACACACTTTGCTCAACATGTTACAAAGTGTATAGGAACTTGTAAACAGTTTTCCTAATTTTAACATTTATGTCTCTTTTATTAGAAAAATTATAGAAAAATCATTGTAAGCTGAAAAATGGATCCATAAACTCTGAGAATTTAGAAAATGAGTCTACTTTGTTCATAATTTTTATTACGATTTTTAGAGGTTTCAAACTAGTGTGAAAATGTTCATCTTCATTGACTGGTCCGAAATCACTCTTGAAATGATAGGAAATTTTGTAAAAATCACCATAAATTGAATAAAAATCATATGAACGTGTGCAAGTATTCATTAGAAAGGTATAAGCTTGAAATATTTGTATATTGAACATTTTTGAAAGATATTAAGATTAAGATGGTCAAAACAATTCGTGAATAGATCATAACTATTCTGTTGAAAGCTGTTATTTGAGTTAGAATGTGTTTTGGTGTTGTAAATTGTATTCTCCCCCTTAAAACTTTAAGAAAATGTGAAAAGATAGGGGTATGAACTCACCTTGAGTAATTTCTTGTATATTGGAAGGTTGAGGATGAAGGATTTCAAGTCAAGAACACATGATCAACACTTGAGGTTTTGACGGTACTATGAACAAATATATGATTATATGTGTAAATGATCACGATTTGTACAAAAATGTGTAGAATATTTAGATGTTGGATGAATATAAAATAAATGGAGGAAAAAGTTCTCTAGAACTTACTGGGAAATTAGATTCTAGAGAGAGAAGGGGAGGGAGAGAGAGAGAGAGAAGGAGGGAGGGAGAGAGAGGGAGAGAAGAAGAAGAAGAAGAAGAAGAAGAACAAGAACAAGAAGAACAAGAAGAACAAGAAGAACAAGAAGAATAAGAAGAAGTTTGTTTTTGGTGAAGATAATTGAGATTTTGGAATGTGAAGAATATATATTTCTTAAGTGGATGTGATTAAGACAAATCTGATGGAGTTTTGGGAAGAGTTGAAAAGGATAATGATTTGACTAGGTAGAGTGACATAAAGTGGGTGAGGGGATGACTTGGTATCATAACTTTATGGAAAAGTCAACAAGCCTTTAAATATTATCTTGAAAAAAATATATGATTTATGAATAATAATTTCCCTAAAATAGGAATAAAATATGAGTCTAGGGGGTCTAATATGTCAAAAATACGAATTAAGTGAAAATCCCTTTGAGAGGGTTTCCCTTCTTAAAAGGGTTTTGCTTCTTGAGAGAGTTTCTGTTCTCTAGAGGGTTTCTCTTCTTGAGAGGGTTTCACTTCTTGAGAGGGTTTCTCTTATTGAGTGGGTTTCTCTTCTTGAGAGTGTTTCGCTTCTTGAGAGGGTTTCTCTTCTTGAGAGGGTTTCTCTTTTTGAGAGGGTTTTGCTTCTTGAGAGGGTGTCTCTTGTTGAGATGGTTTCGCTTCTTGAGAGGGTTTCTCTTCTTGATAGGGTCTCTCTTCTTGAGAGGGTTTCGCTTCTTGATAGGGTTTCTCTTCCTGAGAGGGTTTCTCTTCTTGAGAGGGTTTCGCTTCTTGAGAGGGGTTCTCTTCTATTGTGCTGTTTTTAATATTTTCTTCCCCGCTCAAGGGATTTTTAACTAATTGAACTGTCGGGATGGCCCAGGTCTTTATCAAAGTAGAGAGTGATATTTGGGAGAGAGATAAAGTAAGAGAGATTGAGAGAGACTTGTCCGGCTGCCTTTATTAGTGTTTGGCCTAGTAACGCAAGGTTTGTAAACCTCATTATGACTCGTTATGAGTGTTTTACACCCCTAAAGGTGCTTAATAGTGCTTTATAAAGTCATTACATCACTCACCTGGTTAGGGTTTAGAATTTCTGAACATTTGAAACTTTTGAGTGATACTTTGTCTTGTGATAGAAAGTTGTACACTAGAAAACAGAGAATATACCCTATCATACAAACACTAAATGAGTTTATCGGTTTGACCCATTGACTTTTGTTGACTTTGACTAGACCAGAATTTGACGATTGTCACATCAAATGTGTAAACTGATGTGGTTTTAGGGTAGTATTAAGATCATAAATTAGGGTCAATGAAACGGTGATGACGGCTGAACTAGATCCAATATTAACGAAAACCCTAATGACTTTATAAACATAAGAGATGTGTATAGAT